ATTCGATTTCTGATTCTTCTTTACATGCTCCATTGGCCGGTTCTGCTCCACCGCTGGTCTTTAAATATAACTTGTGAACTCCCCTCTGGCTATCAGCATCTCTATCTGTCTCCTTAGGTTCCTGCATTGGTTAGTCTGGTGGCCAAAATCAGAATGAAACGCACAGTGTTTAGACTGATCCCTCTGTTCAAGAGGTTGCTTGATTGGTAAGGGAGGTCGGAACTTATCTTTATTTTCTTGGTACAGTCTTGCTAGGGTAACTTTCAATGGAGTAATCAGTTCTTCCTCTCTGGGCCTCTTCTCAGATTTCCACGAGGAGCGTTGCGGTTGGACCTGTTCTTGCCTGATTTTTGCTTTGGTCTTTTCTTCCGTGGATATAACGGATGTCTTCCGAGCGTTTGCCACCTCTTCTTCTTCCAAGCGTACAAATCCATCAGCTCTTTCGTTGAGTTCATCCATAGTCCTCGGCGTGTTGACCACCAAACTTGTGTGGAATGGGGTGCCACGATTCATAGCCAGAATGAATGCTTGAACTGCCGTTGAAGGGTGGCATTCAATAACCATGCTCTTGGTAAGGTTAAACCTGGTTAGGAAAGCCTGGAGACGCTCTTCAGCGTGTTGCTTCATTGTGAATAAGCTCGAAATATCTTTCGCTGGACGCTTGTTTCCATAGTATTGGCTTATGAACTGATCATACAGGCTTCGGAAACTATCCACGGTAGGTTCTTGAACCAATTCAGAACTGGTCCGGCTAGACTCGTAGGAAAGCACTTGCACATCAAAGAATCATTCTCAGTGTTTAGAGCCATTTTCAGCTGGATGTGATACACATGATCGATCGGATCAGTCGTTCCGTCGAATAGAATGAAAACGGGCATGGAAAATTTCTTCGGACTCGGAGCATTCAGAATCTCATCGGTGAACGGTGAATCCACCGTTCTAGCTGCTGAACGGAGTGCTTCATTCTCCCTCTGGAATCCCGCGGCTGCTCTCTGGTCTACTGATCTCCTCTCTGAGCTGTGATAGTCGAACGTCGTCATGGAAGGCTGGTAGGTCGGATCGAATGATCTATCCTCAACAAAGTCCTTGCGCCATGGAGGCATAGCTTTCTGACGAATCAACTCTGTTGCTTCACCTCGGCTGAGCGTTTCTTGATGTGGATCAAAAGTCATCGCTTCGTTTCGCCTGATCTGCTGACGCCGTGGATCCATGTGAATCGATCCTTTACGATCATCCATACGACGAAGATTTGGCGGCAGACAGTCTCGTCAGATTTCCTCGCCGTGAGGATCAACTAGATTATTTTCAACCTCTTCACCGTGATGTGCTGCATCGGTACGTGCACCTTCTTCGCCTACCGGAAGTGGTCGTGGAATTACTGGAGCTTCTTGACGCTGTATTTCATTCCTTAGATCTGCATTTTCTCTCCGGAGAGCTTCGATCATGTTCATCAACTCATCGAGTTTCACTTGCTGGATGTTCTCAACCGTATTAGAGTTGTCACCCCCTATCATGATTCCGGATCGAAGCAAAGGCATGAATTACGAACTTCGAAACAGATCTAAGCGTTACCGATGCAAACTCCGCTAGATCTGGGCTTAACTTTACCGAATCGTGATCGCTGTTTGCTAGATCTGAACTTTTCTAGCTTCAAACTCGTCGGATCTGACTGCAACTGAGCAAATCGCAATTGCGTCCTTCCAAAGCAAATGCCTCAGAATCCACAATAATCAAGAATTCTCTCGGAGCAAACTACAATCTCACTGATCTGAATTCAACTTCCAAAAGTCACACTGCATATTCACAAACTCGATTGAACTAATATGGTACTGATCGGGCTCGAATTGATCTTCGTCCTCGGTTCCCACAGACGGCGCCAATTAAAGATACAATATTCCGTTTCATCTCTCTCACTCTTACTTTCTCTTTCTCTCTCTCTTCTCCTTAGCTTCACCCTCTACTTTCCACCCGTCATGGTCTATTTATAGGCCATGACCCTCTTTTGCAGTTAACTAATTACATTGGGCTTATAGCCCAAAGTTCTCTTCCTTCTGGGCTGGGTCTTGTAATGGGCTTGACCTTCCTCGGTGGACCCCCCACGTTCGGCCCACTCCAGGGTGCTTTGGCATGGATCCTTCTTCAATCATTCTACCCGATTTCGTTTCCGCGATCCATATCCGGCCCATGCCACTTGCCGCATCCTCAGAGTTCGAATGCAATTTCTGACTTGAGGCAATTTGAGTGTAAGGGATATATGTGTGTGTGTGTGTGTGTGTATATATATATATAATTTCAAATGTGTGTTCAGAATCTTCAAATGAATATAATGAGTTATTTATTCACAAAACATAACCACTTTTTGGTAGCTTCTTTATGCAAGTACTTCTGTTTGAGTTGCAACAGGGCATGTCATTCACCACTTAGTAGCTTCTTAATACAAGCATTGCTGTTTGGGTACGTAACAATATGTCTGTTTGAAATGTCTTATGATATTATTTTTTTATATTGGTCTTTAAATTTGGGCCCATATTTTGTTAGAGATTGCTGATATTAATTTGGAATAATTCATAACATATCAAATTTTTTTGTTCCAAATCCATAGCACCAAATTGGTGATATTATGTGTTTTAGTACTGCAACGGATGAAGTAAAGTAAATTTCTGAATATCTCAAAACAAATTTTCTTTAGCAAACATAATTTTGATTTTTACTCAAAACACTTCTACAATAAAATGATTATTTTAATATTGACCTAAAACATATCTCGTGCCAAACTAGTCCTCGAAATTACGTTATTGTAACAGAGTTGCATATGCAGTATGCACCTGCAACAAAGTCCATTACAAAAATTTTGAAACGGCCTAAATATCATTTTTGTACATGCTTGATGTAACTGATCATTTTGGTGGACCAGTGGCATCATGAATATTGATCAAGATCGAATGGTGGACAAAGAGCATAAGTTACAAAAGTATTACACGCTTAAACTCAATGACAAAGAGCATAAGTTGAATTGAAATCATTTAAATTCCTTCAGTCTTATTTAAATTACAAATTCCTTTCTTCTATTTTTAGTTTTTACAGAAGAAGAGCTTTTTGTGATTTTATTTTTGTAACGTGGAATGTACATTTCCAATGGTCTAACCTGGTTGCAGGCTAATTAAAAAAATAATAATAAAAAAGAAGAATAAATGCATTATATATAATTATTTAAAACAAAAAGAGAATAAATGTAATTTAGGCAAACATAAACAAACTTTCTTTGTCATGGATGGTCTGGTATATTACATGTATTCAACACATCCAATGTTTAAGGTTTATTTATTTATTTATTTTTATCACAATTATTTATTTATTTTTAGTACCAAAAGCAATAGGTATCAAGAGACGGCCTTGAATTTTATATTTAGTAATTCTTATTGATCAAGTTTCTTATAATATTTTTTCAAAATTTTAAATTTATATTTATTTTTAGTTTTAGTTTCCTTTCGTTATTAAGTTTCTTACAATTTTAAAGTTTTGTTTATTATTAATATATGTATTGCAAAGATAAAAAAATAATCAATTCAATAATCAATAGTACATTAGAATTCTCTCAAAAAATTTTAATTTTGTAAATTTGTGAACTATTCATAATTCACAACTCAAAATATAATTATTAAAATTTTACATTACACGAATCAAATCTTCTAAACGAATTAATTAAGATTCCTTTTCTCTTTGAGAAATCACAAAATCATACCAAGATACATTATCATTTGCCTCCTACACTACAAGATTATGATTGAGATAGAAAATATCAACACTTTTTCAGAGTTTTGGACCTTCGATATAGCTAAAGATGACTTCAGTTGGTCTGCTTCCAATTCTCTTATTGACTGGTCTGTCTAGTTTCCACTGTCAATCCAAGAAGTGGTATCACCTTCTTCATAACACAAATGGCAGCTTAGTAACAGCATGAGTCACCTCGTTTTCATTTCCCAAGACATGGCTAAACCAATACGAGGAAAAGTCGTGAAGCAACTGATTTGATTTGCAGTCCGTGATACTTTTTAGTCATAAAAACATGCACCGAACATAAAATTATTAGATTACAAAATTCAAATTATGTCATGAAATACGAATTTGAGCATTACAATAATTATGTTGTGAAAATACAACACTAACATTACATGTCTTCAATTTGTATAATATAACTGACTACACGTTCATGCATGATAATATTTATGTGCATACATAAATAAAAGAGAGGGAATCAGGGAATGATAAAGAGCCCCACAAACAAAAGGGTTGCTTAACTCTGAGGTTCCTTTTTGTGCCAAGAAAAGGTTGAAAAAAAAAAAAAAAAAAACAAATTTTTAATTATCTTATTATATAATGTATAAAATAATAATTTGAAACACCTTAATCCTTTGTACTTTTGATAGATAGATAGATAGATGGTATATATGCCACTACAACAAATGGTGTTATTTCCGACCCCAAAAGGCGTCGTAAAAGCCAAAAAATAGTGTCGGAAAAGGGTATTAACGACCCCAAATTGGGGTTGTATCTTGTGTCGGCAATGGTTGGGTTGCAAATGCCATATGAATTTCCGACTCCTTATGGGGGTAGGAAATAACGCTATTAATCATGTCTATTTAGCGTCGCGAATGCTGGAGTCGCAAAAGCCGTACTAATTTCCGACCCTTTTAGGGGGTCGGAAATAACCCTATTACTGACGCCAAGTTGGCGTCGCTAATATGTTGGTATTTATGACACAATAGGGCGTCGAAAATAGCCTCTTATTTGCAACTCCTTAGATGGAGTCACAAAAGCCTACACAGTTCTGACACCAAGTTCTGTCGAAGATACAGTGGCTATTGTAACTCAAAACAACTTATTACTGACTCTCTTTGGTGTCGCAAAAGGGCTAAAAATTATATTTTAAATAATATAGATGCAAAGCAGTAGCATATATTCCATATCAATCACAATTCAACAAAAATTGGTCCCTGAGATTCAATACCAACAAAAATGGATCATCACCAAACCGATATTTATAACAACAAAAATGGTTCATAACCAAACCGATATTTATAACAAAAATACAATTCAGTAGCATATGTTCTAATGATCACCAAAGCTTATAATCAACACATGTTCAACAAAAATAATGATCACCCAAGCCACAAATATTGTTTCCATATATTCAGTCACAATTGTTTCTTATGGAGAGCTTGGTGGTGGAACATTGCTTTGAGAGAGCAACCCCTTTAAAATCATACTCATCTTAGCTTCTAATCTTTGCTCCATATTGGTTTCCATATCCTTGATTACTTCAATAACATTAGCATATTTCTTTTCAGCTGCAATCCTAAGTCTTTTTTTCATTCTCTAGCTCCGCATTAGGACGGGCTGGTGGGGGTTTCACTCCACACCCCAAGCCACAAATATATTTGGGCCTTTTCCCAAGAACTTTGACGAATGCTTGCTTCTCCTTTTCAAGTCTATCTCCATTTGTAGGATCTAAAGCCTGTACTGCTGCAACCAGCTCCCCCTACATAGGAAACAAAATCAAATATCTGCAAACAAAAAAGAAACTAAAAGCGCAATAACATCATACATGTGGCAGACAATAGGCGGAAGAAAAGATTTGGATTTTCTGTACTAAATGTTCAATTCTATATTACCAAGAATCAAATAATTATTCTTCAATGAAACATCCATACATAGCATACACAAATGAATTATATTGATGATGAGTGTTTATCTAAATCCAAACGAATGCAGACTTTATAGCATTTGAAGCATCTATATATTCTTTAGTGATTTATTTCATTCTTAATAAGCTTATAAGCACATCATATAATCATAACATGTATTTATCTATTTTCTTCTACAGGACTAAATGATGAGAGAATTTTCAAAAGCAAATCAAAAGCCCAAATTGCAAAACTCAATTATTTACCAAGTATCAGAATTGAGAAGAACAATCAACAAATTGTGAAGTGATTAAGAAATATAATTTAAGATTTGAAACTTACAGAGATTTAAGGGCTTCAATCTATTGTTGATGGAGAAAATAACATGTTCTGTGATGGCTGTGATCCTTTTAAACACTTCGCTTCTTCGTATCTTAAGGAGTCTGAACAAGGGTAATCTAGTTTGAGCCCCAATCCCATCCTTTCGCCTCACGAGATAGCATTTAAACACGGATCAGCAAGGTAAGCTAAGTGGACGATGTTGATGGTTCAAGGTGGTGTTGATGGGTTTGGCTGACTACCCGGGCAGATTCAGATGAAAAGCCTCAGACCTAACGAGACCAATAGGTGCCTCTTGGGCTCAGGTTAACAGACCGGCCGATTTTGCACCAAACTTGTTAGACGAGGGCACATCTAACAAAGATAAATCTAGGGTTTTTGAGATAAAAAGAGGCGAAAACTGGGGAGAGATTAGGAGGAAGAAAGATAGTGATTTTTTTTGTTTTTTATTAGGAATCGGATAGTGAATTTGATCAAAAGATCAATTTGCGCTAGCGGGGAACCTGTGTTAGAGCTCAGACAAGGAAGAGAGGAGAAGAACAGAGATGAGATCGGAGAAGAACAGAGATGAACCCCACACACACACACATACATATATATATATATACACACACGTACCTGGGTTATGTTCCTGTGAAGGTGAAACTCGCGAAGATTTTGGTTGATGGATCGATGTGTGCGAAGTGGATTTTCGCACAGCTAGAGCTTTGATGAAAAAAAAAAAAGGCGCCTTTTTTCATTAAGCCGCCTTTTTCCAAACCCTAAAATGAACACAAATTGCAAATAGCATATATATGTGTCCAGATCTGAAACAATCAAAAGAAAAATGGACCAAAACTAGGGTGTGGATCATTAACTGGGTTATATGAATGTCAAATCGAAGATGGGGGTTCTCTAAAAATCGAAGAAAGAGGCATAATTCCTAAAATTTTGAAAAAATAAAAATATTGTTGTACCTGAAGAGTAAGAGTCGATGTTGGAACGATTGGGTCATTCAGCTTGTGCTGATGGAAGAGGGTGGAAGAGTCTCAATATTCTGCGACGATGGAAGAGGGTGGAAGAGCTTCAGTCTTCTGCGATGGTGGAAGAGCTTCAGTATTCTGCGAGGGTGAAGAGGTGGAAGAGAGGGAGTGAGGGCTTGAGGCGGGTTGGAACTGAGACGATAGGGAGATGATAGGAATATGGATAAAAGAATGTAATGAAATTATACAAAGTAGTTTTCAGTAATTTATTAAATAAAATAATTTTATATATTATAATTTTTCTCTCACAAATGTGCCAAACAAGGAATTAAGCGGCAAAACAAAAGCGCCAAATAAGGAATTAAGCGCCAAGTTTTGCCGGACAAATTTTTATGGAATTGGGGACCGGCCATTTAAGTTTTTAGGGACAGTCTCAACAACTGTGCCAAAAAAGTAATTTTTAGGGACAATCTAAAGACTGTGCCTAAAAAAGAAGGCTTTAGGGACAGTTTTATAGACTGTCCTTAAAGGACTGTCCCTAAAACCCGAATTTCTTGTAGTGGCTAGATGATGAGTGCTTATCTAAATCCAAATGAATGCAGACTTTCTAGCATTTGAGGCTTCTATATATTTCTTTAGTGATTTTTATTCATTCTTAATGAGGTTGTGTATCTTGTGAAAAAAAGTAATCTATCTTATAGAAGTGTAGTTTAAATGTTTCTACTTAAATGGTTTCAACTTTAAATTTACAGATCTCTAAGTCTTTATTTGAAATTTTAATTACGTTATTTTGGAATGTTATTATTTCCATAATCTCAACTACTTATAAAGCATTTTCATTTTTGACAACGTGCTCCAACAAAATAAAGATAATATTGTTATCGTTGTTGATCGATTCTAAATAATAAAAAGTGAAAGACTAAGATTGATTGCAACCCTGAATTGATCCAAATACAGTACATTTGGTCATTATACAGAATAAAAAGGGCCTAATGATTTGTGTCATATGCACCTAATGCCTAGAGAAAGAAATGTAAAAGAGCTACTTTACTTTTGTCATATGCAGTACTGTGAATGTGCTCTGCATTCTCCATATTAGAAATTGGCATGTATATCAACACTGAAGCAAAATAATATTATCTATTAATATGTTACAATCCAAATCACAATGAATTTATTACCAAAAAAAAAAAACTGTCATTACATATCAATGAAAAAAACAAAACAACTTTGAGAGAAAACTCGTATGGAGCCATTCTATGAAACCAGCAGAAACCAGCCTGTACACAGTGTACAAAAAAACTAAGAAAGCTTAATTTACATATCCAGACCTCTGGAACCCGGAACATCTATCCACTGTAACTGGAGTTCAACCTTACCACACTCAACGTTTCGCTCTTGATGTTTCAAAGAAACTTGTTCTAGATACTAATAGGAAAGAAAAATTGGTTTATGAGACAATTAATTACTAAAGTATTTCAAATATTTTGCTCACTTTCTGTATTTATTTTAATTAGCTAAGCAAACTGTTAGGTAGGTGTTTTAAAATTGCTTAAATTATGCACTAATTTAAACCTTGATTTAGCATGCGGCATTAAAAAGAAAATTCAATTTCTAGGTTTTTCTCTATCATATTATACAGATAATGTGTTAATCTGTCTGAAAAGATTAATATGTGCTGCCACAAAACTAAACTTATATTAAGTAAAATATATAAGAGAAGAATTACCTAGAAATTGTATTCACTTCCTAGTTCCTCCATTAACAGTAGCGAGGTTGCAATGGCTGTATAGTCAGCTATTGCTATATATATATGAGTGAATGGATGAGAAAGCAGAAGTTGTGTGGCTTATGCTGTCAGTACTTGGCAGATGTAATGGTGGATAGTAGAAAATAAAGAAGCATTGGAGGCCTTTCCAGGAAAAGATCAGTGAAAAAACTCAACACACACACACACACTTTATCTGCAAGTCAATTTTTTATTAAGAAAAGAAATACTACGTAAATAATAATGAGACTATTTGATTATCTACATGCTCAACATTTCTGATATACATTGCGAGGTTTTAACTCAAGTGATATCTCCTCTTTTTCATTCATTTTGAGTAGAAGATTTAGAGTTTGGTCCAAACTCTCTATGAATTTTTGTTTGATCAGTTTAGTGAATGAAAGTGAGAAATTGAGGATGAAGAAGCTAGAGAACTCAGCAAGATTTTTTAAAACCTGATATGATATGAACTCTCTATATATATAATTAATATTCTATATTAAAGATTATTTCTATAGATTCATTGGGACCGGTTTGGTTCCAAAATACTCGGTCTAATCTGAACCCCAAATTGGTACCGGAGTGTTCCATCCTAGCATAAATGTTTACTCAGCAACAACCAAGTGCAAGTTTCATAACAGAAATTAAACTCTATTTGTGTTTGCAATGGGACTAGTTCACCATATGTAAAATTCCAATGCTAACCTCCTGCCACTCTCTGCCTCTCCACAGTGACTATTCTTGCCACTGCCATTGACAATACATTCTCACAAAATTAAAACTTTAGTTGATGTTGCAATAAAGTCCTAAATTGAAAGTCAGAAAGCCCCAAATTCATTTGCATCTGCTATCAAAAGCAATTCAAGGTTATAAAAATACATGTTTTCATAAAGAACAATTTTTTGTTTTATAAAATATTGAGAACTGTTTTCTGAATTACAAATCAAGCAAGTCATCTTAACGTTTTTGCTTTGAAATATTTTTTGCAATATTACCAACTTAACTTTCTTTTTACAACAGAAGCTTCTTATAAATAAGTAGGTTTGATGAACTGTGCTTCATTTATCCTCTTTTTGGCAGAACACATTATTCTCTTTAACATTTTTGTGCAGTTGACCAAATGAAAATTTGATCTTGTATCATTGTTCCTTTTTTTAAAATACATGAAGAGGAAAGGTATTCTTACATCCAATTCCCGAGCTTTCTCACATGTCCAACCCTTTTCTGGATGGTGATGTGTTTCTTCATAAACATTAACCAAACGAGGTTGAACTCCATTCTGAGACATTTTCTGCAAAGTTCAAGGAATTATTATATGTCAATTGTAGAAACATATAAAAGCAAGTGTTTAAAAAGAATATTTGGTTCAATAACTATTACCTTCTCCTCAATATACCGCACAAAGGACTTGCTTCCGCCACAATGGTGAACTTGTAGTGTAGCCCGGTTCCTTTGATTTTGCTCACTAATTTCCTACACAAAGAAGGTATCAAATCATGAAAAGTTTATGGTTAATTATGTTACTACTGTTGCTCAAAATAATAGCAAAATCTTCAACTAAATAAGGTACAATTAGCCTATTATTTGAAGTGGAATGTGAGATTACCTTATGCTTTTCTGACATGAAACGATTGCACAATACTGACCAAACTTCAGACCGAACACTTTTATATGGATTTCGAGGTGCCTCATCAGGGTCAAACAAATTCCAATGACTTTTTACCTCGTGTCGGTAATCCTTGAGTCGGGTATGAAGTTGCAAATCCACAACTTCTTTGTGGTGTGGATCGTTGAAATCAACTTGAAAATGTTCCTATAATACATCTAACTTTAGAAAACCAACTTCAATTTAAAAAGTAAAGAAGTCATAAGTAAATAACTATAACACTTCACCTTTATTTCATTATACATAATTTGTTTTTCAATTTCTGGAACATCAAGCCACGATTCATAAATTAAGAGTTTTCCACTACCACGCACTATAATGCCGAGTTCAGCTGTAAATACACCAGCATTATCCCCAGTGACCTTCATGTATTCTGGTTTGATTTCAACTAGAATAGGTCCTCCGTAAAAATCTTTAAGTTGCAACTTCTTTTCATTTTTTGCAATTCCACGTCGTTTCACCCTAGTCGAAGCTGCACATGATTGGTACAACAGTCAATAAAAAATATATGAACATATAATGAAAAAAAGACGAACATAAGATGATACAAAGCAATTTCCATTTATTTCACTACACACGGACACAATCTCAGGTTGAAATATTGCCAATCGCGTTCGCCCACTTCAATGGTGATATATTGACATGTAGGTAGAGAGAGATTCTTCTCACTTTTCGATAATACATTCTGAATTCTAACTGCTAAATAGCCTTACCAGCAACAAAAGCACCCTCACCAGATAAATCCCAACTATGGCATAGAATGATAGAAACATCTGGATAAAAAATGAAAGCATCTTTGATATATTGAACCCAACTACCAATGATTAATTGATGCAACCAGAAAATTACTTTTTCACAAACTCAGTAGAACATTACATCTCTACAATTAATTAAGTAAAACTTGGCAATTGTCATACTCTGAATAAATACTAAGTAGAAGAATTCATAGGCATATTCTCTACTGATGATAGCCATAATCTAATTAATGATTCTATATTCTGTATAGAAGAAGCATAATGAAAGTTTTATGTGCATTGTAGAATAAACTTGAATATTAGTATATAGTTTACTATTAAGATGAGGTTCCCGAGGAAGCTGATATAAGAAATATTTATGATTAAGCATCAAGTTTCAAACTAGAATCTAGAAATTCTTTAAAGACATTAGAAGAATTTTTAGGCAATTTTCATCATAACAACCAATGTGAACCTTTCTATTTGCTGTGAGTGCACTTTTAAACAGAATATTTAAAAGCTAAACTAGTTGTTCTGTTGAAAGCAAAAATTAAATGTAGAAACTCTTAATCCAGCACAATGGGGCTGTTTAGCAGTTAGGTACTACAAAGTCAACAAAGCAAACAACAGAGAATTGCTTCAAATTGGAGACTAAATTTAGTACTGATCTCATTCCTCAAACAAGTAAAATAATATTTAAAAAGTGTTAATGATCTACATGCAAAGCAGTTTTCAGAAAGAAAATTGATGGAACAGGTAAAATAATATTTAATTTCAAAAAATAATGATACCTGATGAACCATTGGTTGAAGCCATAAGAATACCTGGAAAACAGCTCTTGAAAGTAAGATATATATATATATATATTGAACTAAAGTACAAAGTTTATTCAATTTGCATGTGTGAGTAGGTTTGTATGTATGTATCATGTAAATAAGAGGAGGAAACACTCGAATGCTAGATATTTGAAAAAACGGTGACAAGGAATACAGACCTCATGATTTATGTGCAGGAAAACAAAAAATTGTAGGATACCTGATCCAGCAGCACTTGTTAGC